GTCCTTGTGCGACAGCGGTGAGGACGTGCGGTTTTCTCCTTGTTAGGGCTCTCTGTAATCTCAGGTAGGTGTTCCTGCTCCGGCAGGGCGACTGGACTAGAGGATCCTTCGAGGTCCCTTCCAATCCCCAACATTCTGTGATTCTGTGATTCTTCTGCTTGGTGGTGTTAAAGGCTCTTCCCTCCCCGAAGCAGGCTCATAAATTGGCGTCCTGTTCCCGAGCGGGCTAGATGGACTGGTTGCCGGTGCTGACTTGGCTGGGCTGCCAAGGAAATTTTCCTTACTACCAAGGAAATTTTACTTACTACTAAGAAAATCAGTTGCAGTGGTCTCTTCTTGCTGTGGTAGTCTTGCCTATGAAATGTCTCGCCAGGGCTATCCTGCTTATTACACATATATGCAGACAACCAGTGGAAAATCCTATTGTTGCCTCCCTGGTTTTCAGCAAACTAGAAGAGCTTATTTGTCTTACAGTAATGATGTTTGATATTCTTGGGGTTTGAGCACAAGAATTCTTTTAGTGTTATAGCTAAGCCTGTTGGTATTCATTAGTGCAGCATGTTAGTAATTTCTTTACTTACTTTCATTGTCGACCATGGCATTTGCCAGTCAAAAAGAGCACAGATAGGCCTAGTTGGGAGGCAAGCAGGAATTACCTTTAAGGCCTATTCTTTACATTTTCATTTGGCTCTTGAATGCTTACAACTGACTGGAGCTTATAGCTGAACTTAATCTTGTAGCAGTCTTGAGGAAAAAATGGCAGACGTGCATAGTTGTGTGCACCAGGAACATTTATTTCTCTTGATGACAGGATTTGCATCATGCTTAACGTGCTTTTCACCCTGCTAGATGGTGCCATCTGCAGGTCTTGTTCCCATGACTTCAGTGCAAGTAGTCATTTCAGAAAGAAGGAAGGAAATATAAATTGAATTGCCTGTGCTGGACAAAGCTTGTTTTGTATTGAATGTGAACATTTTATTAATGTAATACTTAAGAACAGAATAAGTGAGATTACAGTTTTACACAGATGTGTTTAAGTTTATTTGATTGTTATGTACAGAACCTGCATGTAACAGTGTAAACAATGTGTGATTTAATGTCAATTAATGTGTGTGTGGTTATTTGTATCTTAGCAAAATATTTCTATCCTGTCCTGCATTGAGGACTCTTGACATTGTGAATCTTTGCTTGAACTGAGCAGCTCATCCATGTGAATTCATTGCAGGGTGAAAATTAACTTTAAACAGTTTCAAAAATAGTAAAGAGGAACATTTCAGTGGATTTCAACATTGAATTGTCCATTCAGTATTTGGACAAAACAGCTTTAAAAAAACCCAAACCAACTCTTTCAGAGTTGTCTTTTTTTACTGTATGGAATTGTAAGTGTTTTGATTTATCAGGTGCTATCAGTAGGTTTGTGCAACAGTCTATGTAGGACAGCAGAATTTTTTGTCTTGTACCTAAAGTAGCAATAACAGTATTTGAAGAAAAAGTAGCCATTTGGGAACAAAAAAACCCCAAAAAAACAAAAAAATCCATGGTGTTAATGAAATCTCTGCACCTACTGACTCCAGAGTGTTAATTGTAATTATATATTAACTGTAATGCGACCTTGTACCAATGGAACAGCTGTTTATTGACAAACCTTTGCTTTGAAAACATAGGTGCAGTTCACCATGTGGCCCACGGAAAGTTAATTTGAATTTGCCTGTTATGTGTAATTTAAGTTTGGGGGTAGGTAAGGGGTTTTTCCCTGTGTTAGAGCTTCTTTTGAGTTTGTTTGTTTGTTTACGTCCATTTTTCTTTAACCCCTTGCAGCCTATACCGATTTACAGTCAGTGTTTTGATTTGCAGCCTGTGTTCAGTTTTTGTCCTGTTTCACATTCTTAAAAGCCTAGAATGCATATCTAGCATTAGTTTAGTGAGTTTGGTTGGATTTTGCTGAACAGAACTACTGGATAATTTTTTAAGAAAAGACATGTAGTACTTTCTAAACATTTAGATACAAGATGAATAAATTCTGAAATCTCCCTCATACAGGATGTTACCAAGCTGACGCCTCTGTCGCCAGAAGTCATCAGCAGACAAGCAACAATTAATATAGGTAAAAAACTTCTGAAAAAGAGGGGTGCATTAATGTGACTCTGGTCCTCATGCAGTAGCATACGGTACCTATGTGAGAACACTTTTAAGAAGTACTTAGTGAAACAAACAGTAATATAGATATAGTGGGGTTCTTATACATTTTATGAAGGTGCAGGAAGAGACTTGTCGAACCCTTTTAACTTGAAAAGCACCAATTTTACTTCAAGAACACTGTTGAATGAAGTGGAGAATAGTTGCTAAAGCAAAGTTTATTTTACCTTAAAAATAAGCATTGAAATGAGTTCCATGAAAACACAAAGATCTGTCCGTTGGGAGCTCAATTTAGGATCTTGTTTGTTTAAACAAAAATGATGATGAAACCCATACATGCTTCTGATGGGACCTCTGGACTTACTAGCTACGGAGAGTTTGGGGTAATTATGTGTTGTTAGTAATGGAACATTGCATGAAATTAAACAATGGTTTATTGACAAATATTTGCTTTTAAAACTTAGGTACAATTGGCCATGTAGCCCATGGGAAGTCGACAGTAGTCAAAGCCATATCTGGAGTTCATACTGTCAGGTTTAAAAATGAACTGGAAAGAAATATCACGATCAAGCTGGGTTATGCCAATGCAAAGGTGAGTCACTACTGTAAATCTAGCAAATATGTTGCTCGTGTATTTCACTGTGGATTTAAGCTTAGGAGTAACTAACCCTTGATGAATTAAACTTTTTCTCAATTTTAAAAAATTTTTTACAGATTTACAAGCTGGATGACCCAAGCTGTTCCCGGCCAGAGTGCTACCGATCCTGTGGAAGTAGCACCCCAGATGAGTTCCCTACAGATATTCCTGGCACCAAAGGGAACTTTAAACTAGTCAGGTAACTACTGTAAAGTAAATGGTATAAATTGTGTTTGCTTCCTTTTACATAACTGAAAGTAGTCAGGATTGAGCTGCAAGCTCAATGAACAGACCACATGCTCTTAGATGCTGGGTACACCTGATCTAAGGTCTCATCTGAACTGCCTTGTTTTTATTAGTTGTGATGCACAGTCCATGGTAGAGCACAACTGTGTCTTCTGTCCTCGGGTATTTGCAGGACTCTGAAGTGGATTTTTTCTGCTATTAACACAAGTGCATTTTAAAGCCACTAGAATGAGAGCTGATGTGGAGCTCACAAACACATCTTTAAAATGATTTTCTGGAGGGTGACCTTTGTTAAACTTTTTCTTCCTGAAGTCAGAAAAGTTTTCAAAGTTCTCAGGGTGAATATGTGAAAGCCTGATGCTTAATGTGAGCTCAGGGCTCTCACTGGAGGCCAAGTGTCCTTTATTTATTTCATTTCTAAGAGAGCACAGCGTGGTTGTTCCGCACGCACAGTAATCGCAGCAGCTGTTACCTGGGTCTTCAGAGGCATCGCTGAAATGGGAGTGGTCACAAAGGCTGTTGTGCGACAAGTGTCCTAGTTCGTGCTTATGTATAAAATACAGGTAGTGCTGTAATCACCTATTTCCTGCCTTTCCTCAGATTCCCAGTAAAACACTTGTTCCACCAGTAACCTCTCTTGGAGGGTGACAGTCATGCAGCTATTGTTAAACTGTTGGTTAAAAGATTTGGATTCTTTATCTTACCGTTTATTTGCTTTTAGCAGATTTTTGACATTGTCAGCAAAGAAGCAAGTTAGTCCTTTGCTTTTTGGTGGCATGCTGCTGGGAAAAAAGGATTCCTCACTGTATAGGTTCAGGCAAGAGTGTAGTGAATTGACTATTATGGTCTGCACAATAAAATCATAAGGTTGGAACTAAGAGCTGTAGCATTGTCTCTGTAGATAAATCTTTGAAGTGAAGTGCAATTATAACTGCGTAATTAAAGACATAATTTTCTAAAAGTGGAGAACGGGAGATGTCGTTTAAAAGAGATAAGAGAAATCCTGTGTAGTGTTTGTTGTTGTGTTTGTTTTGTTTTTATTCTGGTGCATTTAAATCGAGTCTAGTTTACAAGTAAGTTTGTGAAATATTCAAGCAGTACCTAATATGGATACATGGCATTGAAATCTTAAAACTCAGAAGTATTCAGTAGCTGTTCAGTATTCTTTGTGTTCTTTTAGAACTTTTTTGAAAAATTACTTCTTAGCATCTGTCCTGAAATGTTTGTCCATCTGTCTGTTTTAAGGGTGCTTTTAACTTTTGTGTCTGGGTAGCCACTCACATAAATCAATCAAAGAAATTGTTGCCAAGTGGTTTTTGGACTTCTTTTTAACCTTCTTCTACAACAGGCATGTCTCTTTTGTGGATTGTCCTGGCCATGATATTTTGATGGCTACTATGTTGAACGGTGCAGCAGTAATGGATGCAGCTTTACTGTTGATAGGTAATGTTGGCTACACAAAAGTAGAGCACTGGTTTTTAATACAATGAAGCAACTTTATATGGGTTTTAAATTTTATTGGGGTGGGCAATTAAAACAAGTGAATGCTTTTGAGATGTGTTTAAGAAAATAAAGTGTTGCTACAATGAAAATGTACCCTAAGAAGCTGTTTTTTCTAATCATCACTGTATATACTCACCAGTCTGGTAGCTGGCCCAATTGATAGGAGGTTAGTTAGGTAAGATGAAACCTTGTAGTGGTATAGTACTGTAAAATTTATATCGTTTTATGGAAATATGTTAGCTTACAGGTACATTTTGAGCTTCAGTTTGATTTAAATACGTAGCTTTAGCTATACAGGAGAGTCCACAAACATCAGTACAAACAGTAAACCCCGATGAATATGGACAAAATCAAGGTACAGGAGACTTATCTTGATTTAGACAATTTTTGATCTGTTTTGCAAACAATGGGAAGTCAGTAAAACTAACTTTTATATGTCTATAGAACAATTTAGTGCTCTACAGCGATGAATAGCTATTATGTTACCTGCATAGGGCATGTCAACAAACTAGAACAACAGCTTCAGATATTGTAGTTTAAATAGTCTGAGATAGCTGATAAGCTGTCATTTCTCCTGCCTGTTTAGATCTAGAAAATGTGATAGACCAAAATTCGAGTGAGATTAGCCACCATAATGGCACATCAGGCCAAAGTTGACTTCTTTGGTGGCTGAAATCCAAAGTATACTGATAACTGCCCTATTCACATGCTTCATGTATTTACTGTATGTTACAGAGTTTGGGAATCTTGGCATTTTTACGGCTTTGGTGACAAGAAAAACATAATATTTTAAGATATTTCTTGAAAGGTGCATTATCCACTATGCTACAGTCAGTACTGAGATGTCTAAAGTCCTAAAGAAGGGAGTAAGTCAAGTAGACTGTGAATTAGATAGAAGTTAGCCGTGAATTTATTTGGAAATTTTAAGTGTGTGTTTGTTGGGAGCACGTAGAATGGGGGAACCACTCTGGCAGCCTTCCATCTGTCATGTATTGTGTGGATGCTAAAGCCAGCAGTTCTGGGGAGGTGTAGGTGCTTATTAACTTGGGTGTTTCACATGGAGCTTACTGAGAGCTGTTGGTCTTTTTTATAAAGATACAATGGGAAGTAGATGTCCTAACTGTAGGAGTTTTGTCTGTCTTTATAGTTTCTATATTGCAGTCACTTTTCTTCTTTCAGCTGGTAATGAGTCATGCCCTCAACCCCAGACCTCAGAACATCTAGCTGCTATAGAAATCATGAAACTGAAACACATTTTGATTCTACAGAATAAGATTGATTTGGTGAAGGAGAGCCAGGCTAAAGAACAGTATGAACAGATTCTTGCATTTGTGCAAGGTAAGTTTTCAACAGCAGAAATCCAGTTAGTGGTGGAAATTCTTCTGTGTTGGGACATAGACATAGTGCTTTTCTGTATGTTTATAGAAAAGCTGCTGCTCTTACTTAGACAACGCTGGTCTACACAGTCTGATAATCTAAAAATAGACCTTTGGAGTTGTGCTTCTTACCTGTTTCTGACTGCTTATGTACAGTGGTTTTATGGCTGTTTGTTGTAGTTCTTGATGTAAAACTAAAAGCAATAGCTGGTGCCTAGTAGCTTTCACTGAATTTATGGCTTCTTCTTGGTGTTATCTCTTCTTGGATTGTTTCTTTGCTAGAGACTGTACGGTGATTTTAATGCATTGCAGGAGAGAATGAAGCAGTACTTGTTAGGGGCACTTTGTAGGTATAAATATGGGAGTTCTAATTGGAAAAGATTGGTCTTTCATCTCTCTCATCCTACTATGTCCATACAGTTCTGCTCAACTTTAGCCCAGTGCTTTGAGTTTCATCTTTTCAAGGAGCTTTCACTGTTTTCCCTGCTTATCTGCTTTAGCTGGGGTATGTGAGAAGCTGCAGAGCTAGACGGTCACCGTCAGAAGTAGCCAGTGCGTCTGGTTGGGTTTTTTAGGGGGGATTTTTGATGGGGGTTTGTGTGGGTTTTGTTGTTATTGTTTTGGGGGTTTTTTTAGTTCAGAATTACTGCCTTGCCTAAGCTGTTCATAAAAGCTATGTCAGAGTGGCTTGATGTGTAAATTTAGAGTTCTTTGTGAGAACTGGAGATACCACAAGAAACATAGGTATAATTAAAATAGTAATATTTAACAAGCCTCAATAACTAAATAAATCCTTCCATAAAATTAGGATTTTTCTAAAATATGTATTTATATTGCAGAACTTAGATCATTAAATTTATAGGAATTTTAATTAATCATAGTGAAATCTGACTGTAAAATTAATACAAGTGTATCAAATACTGAGATATCTGATCTGTCTGAGGAAATTATCTTATGAATATTTCTAATCACGGTATAAGAAGTGAATTCTCCCTGAGAGCAGAAGCTTTATCTTGCACAATCTTCAGAGAGCGACTGTGAAGCTCTTCAGTAGGCTGTTATCCAGGCAACGTGACTGCCTCAGGGTAGGACTGGCTGATTTGAGCTAAAATGTTGAAGGGAGGGGTAAATGCTCTGATATTCACTGCTTTGGGAAATACATATAAAATGTGCCTTGAAATTAATTATTATTTTTAACAATGACAGAACACTTGGTCTTGTTGTTGTAAATACTATATTAAGGTTTAATGTCGAACTTGGATTTTGTTTTAGGTACAGTTGCAGAAGGAGCTCCAATAATTCCGATCTCAGCACAGCTGAAATACAACATTGAGGTAGTTTGCGAGTATATAGTGAAGAAAATCCCAGTCCCTTTGCGAGACTTCACATCTGAACCAAGGCTTATTGGTATGTAAGTGCTTAGGTCTGGAGTTTTGTGGCTAGCCATTTATTACAGTTATCTATATTTGGAATAGCATGTTGCTGAATGCTCTAAAGAGGTAGGTTTAAAAGCAGCATTTAGTGCACTCTTATTTTAAAACTTGCATATTTTCTGAGAGCTGTATCATTTGTTCATAGTTAATTACTATTAAATCTATTTGAGGTAATTGCTAGTTTTTGTGTATGTTGTACGTGTGTGACAGCACTAAAATGCAATAAAGATGAGAAAGTTATCTGTGTCTTAAAACATTGCTTTAGTTGCTATGAATTTAAGTTTGATTTAACCAAGTACTGACACACTGTTGAATTTGAAAATTAAATTATCTCCATGAAAATCTTACAGGTAGCCTGGTTAGATTTTCTGTGTTAGAGTCCTATCTCCTGAAAGTCTCAGTTGTTGTCCAGCATATTTTAAAACTCAGTTCCACTAAATGAATCAGGTTTTTTTTGCTTCCCCTCACCGCCCCCCAATAATGGGAGACCTACAAAATATACATTCAGAATGCATAAGAATTGACGATATTAAGACAAGATTTTTTTAATACAGTTGATCGTTGCTTTCTTTTTCAGATACAGATACTTAACTTAATTTTTGCTGTGCAGAAGCAGTTTTAAAAGTCATTTATGTATATGAACAGCTTAAATGGTTTTGAGAACAAAATAAATGATATAGTTACAATTTCAGAATAAAATACTCATCATATTTTAGTGTTATCCCTGAATTATATTTTTATATTATTTATAAATATGAGTATACCTTAGTAAGAAGAGGGAAGCAAAGTTGCTAAAGAAAGGCACTAAATCTTTAAAATGTGATCCTAAATATAAACTTGGTTACTGTCTGTTCTTTTCAGTAATTAGATCTTTTGATGTCAACAAACCTGGCTGTGAAGTTGATGACCTTAAGGGGGGTGTAGCTGGTGGCAGTATTCTAAAGGGTGTTTTAAAGGTAACCTCTTCCCTCTCTTGTCTGGAGATTTGTAATTATAATGATGAGTAGAGTTTTTGCATGTTTAGTGCGAAATAAATCTATATAATTTAATGTTTTTTTTAAACTAGAATACAGTCAGGTGGCACCTATCCTTTCTGTCTGAGCCTAATTTTTACTTTCCTGTTTCAAAATACCAGAATGAGAAACATGTGTTAACATGTGTTAAGATCATAGTCTTAACTTTTGCTAATAATGATACTGGTTTAATTGCTTACAAAAATTAAGGGAGCTAATTTTTTTTTTCTTTCCTACCACTTTTACTTACTGAATTATTGGGGGAAAAGAGGAGAGCAAAAGAACTTTAAAAGTACCTCTGAAGTGTGTGTGTGGGTTCCCACAGGTCCCATTTCCCCATTTAAGTATTCTGTATATTTGATTTTTTTATTTTCCTTGTGGGATTCCATCAATAGATAGAAACTTTAAAAGTTGCTCCGTTAAAATGGAAAGCAAACTACGTCTTTGAGCATTTATACAATCTGCATTTTCTTTATCTTGCAGTTTATTGATGCTGAACAGTTGCACCAATTGAGTTAACTCAATTTTTCTCAATGCTGCAACATTTCTAAATGAAATGTAATTTTTTTAAAAAATTAAACACTGGATTTATTGCTGATAAATATCCTTTGCTAAAGCAGTTTTGTAAATTGTATTGAAGAGAAAGTCAGTTGCTCCATTGCCTATAAGATACAGAGCTTTCAATATTGTTCAGTTTGCAGTAAACAGTACAACAGAAGTCCTGGAAGTTCTACAGCAGACCAGAAACAAGGACTTGTATAAATAGTGGATCTTGGAATAAGAAGGTCTTATCTGTGACTCGTAGTTGCTTTATGTTCCTGTGAAACAACCAGTTAATTGCTTTTTCACTTTTGTCATTAGGTGGGCCAGGAAATTGAGGTCCGGCCTGGTATTGTGTCCAAGGACAGTGAAGGAAAACTCATGTGCAAGCCAATCTTTTCCAAAATAGTGTCACTCTTTGCTGAACACAATGATCTACAATATGCTGCTCCAGGAGGTCTTATAGGTAAGAATATTCTTTTACAAAAACATTTATTTCTTCATGCTCATTGAAAATACTTGGTTTCACTTAACAGTGAGTTTCAGTGTAGAAAACCAAAAGGCTATGAGCAATTTCAAATAATACATATCTGTAGGAAGAGACAGAGAGACAACACGGGTGTGAAAATTAGATATTCAGTAAATAAAAATTTTCCTGAATGTCACTGACCAACTCAGATTAACTTGCATTGTTAATTGTACTGGCTTTAACAGCAGAATATTTCTTCATCTGGTGAGACAGAGCTCAGTCTTGCTGACATTGTGAAAGTGCTGTCTGGGTAGCAGGGAATTCCCAGTACATTCTCAGTTTGTTGTTTTCAGATCTCCTTCAGATGTTTTAATATGTAAATGTGATGGCTGCCTTTCAGTTACTCCTTGTGACTCCTTGTTGTGTTGTAGGTGTTGGAACTAAGATTGATCCCACGTTGTGTCGGGCTGACCGAATGGTAGGCCAAGTTCTTGGTGCCGTGGGAGCGCTGCCAGAGATATTTACAGAGCTAGAAATTTCCTATTTCTTGTTGAGACGACTATTAGGTGTGCGCACTGAAGGAGACAAGAAAGCTGCAAAGGTCTGTGTCCACTTTTTTCGGAAAGCACTGTAGGATTTTTTTCATAATTTCTTTTAACTTCTTGTGCTAAGTTGTATTGGTATGTAATTTTTTTAAATTCATGTAGTAATGTTGTCTCCCTGTTCATAGATGCTTGTCACAAAACTTACCTGTTTATTCAATATTATAGAAGAATATTTTTCAGAGGAGTAAGAATTCATATCAAAGTATCGTAAAATATTTATGTCTTGAAGTTAGATATTCTTCTAAACGTATTGGTAGTTGTTTTCCTTTGCTATCAGCCTAATATTTGTGCAATAATTAGTTTTATACACATACTGATATACTTCCTACTTACATGCTTTTTATAGTTCCTTTCTCTGAAGAACTTTTTAAAGTTAAGTATTTTTGAAACACTGTAGTTGAATAGAAACTGAACTTGATGCACAGCACAGCCTCATGTTCCGTGGTCCATTTTGCACAACTCAAACTAGAAGATGGTAGTTTTCCCTGGTAGCAGTAAAATCTATGAACACCTTCATGCAACAGTAAACTAAGTGCCTCAGCTGCCTCTCCATCCTGTGAAATGAATTATTTTTTGAGAAATCATTTTGATGTATGTAGGCATAAGGGCAAGGAGAATATCCAGATTACTTAAAAGAATGGTATAACATTCCAATTTGCAGCAATATCTGAGACTATTTTTGCTTTTAATACAGTATGTGCAGTCTTCAGGATGTTTTACAGAAGATGGCATGATATACTTTCTTGGGATTTCTCTACAACAAGAACCTGCAGTACTACATGCCCAACATGTTTACATATTTGTCCTTTCACAAGAATTAAAATATAAACTTCACCCACTGACTCTGTTGTGCATGGTTTGTGTGTGGGGATATTTGTATTTTTCTCGTTTCTCAGATACATCTATTTTTGTGGCAGCTAGGTAACAGGAGATGCTTAACATTGTCTGTACTATATTGGTTTGGTTTGGGTTTTTTTAAATACTAAAGCTTACATTTCAGTTTTGTATGTTTTCCTTCAGGTGCAAAAATTATCAAAGAATGAAGTTTTAATGGTAAACATAGGATCCCTGTCTACTGGAGGGAGAGTCAGTGCAGTAAAGGCTGATTTGGGGAAGATTGTGCTAACTAACCCAGTATGCACAGAAGTGGGAGAAAAAATTGCCCTGAGTCGAAGAGTTGAGAAACACTGGCGGTAAGTTGGTGCTGAATCGGTAGAGTCCCTGGTTGTTGTAACGTCAACAAAAAAATACACAGATCTGATTTTGTTCTAAAATATATGTCTGCTTTTAAAATTCCTCTGGATTCTCCTAATGCATTGACACCATCATTGTGGGATGCTTCATTCCATTTCTAGCCTCTTTTAAAAGAAGCACTATAGTGGGTAGGTATTTCTTGCTTAACAGACAGAGAAACATCTGAGGCTCACAGTTTGTGGCCAGAACAGCCGTGCTGTAATCGAGCTAAGAGCAGGCTGTCTCGACAGCGCGGTGTGGAAGTTCTAGTAATGCCAAGCCAAAGCCTGTCTTTATACACACCTAAGTCAGCCATGTTCAGCCTGTGGAGCTGTATGTGTCTTCTTGTGCAACCTTGAAGTAATAGCAGGGGAGTGGAGGGGGACATCTAAAGTTCGAGTAGTTTATGTACGAAGAGTAGAGAGGAAAGAAAAAAGTATCGACGGGATTGACCCATTCGAATTACAAGTGTATAATGGCCGACTGCATGGAAGCATCTGGGGGCTGAAAATGATGAGCAGAGTTGGTTCATGATTCATTTTTAAACTTGGTGCTGTACTTCCCTTTAGATGATTACTCATACTGTACCTATTACATGTTCCATAAGACTACATGAATTTAATGAGAACGTAAGGATATTTAGATTCGTTGTCCCTGCACAGCTCTTATAGTATGAGGAGAAAGTATAAGGGAACATAGTCATTCATACAAGAGGTCCCTACTGTACAAAAAATAACCAAGCTTTAACTATCCATGGATGTGTGTTTCTTTTTCAGGTCAGCAGGGAAGCCTAGATCAGAATTCAGTGCTTGCTGTTTCAGAGCTAGCTGACAAATTAGGGAAGAGATTATTCCCTGGGAGAAAAAACAAACCAACCAAAAACCCCCCAAAACCAAATAAACACCCCC